TTTTTCTTTAGAATAATCAAAAAATAACTCCATATTCACCCAACATATGTCAGTTACCAAATTCTTCGAACTATCTTGTAAAAAATAATTCAAAAAATTCTTCTCACCTTTAGCTTCAATCTCATAATTAATTGGAACAATTTTCTTTAAGAGAAGTTCATCATTCTCCACAAAATAAGCATTATTTGATGAATATGAAGAAATAATAATTTCATCAAATAAGTCAAATATAACTTCTTTCAAGGTGAAATTTGTAACCATACCTGAAACTGTTAACTCACCAATTTCATCAACTTTTGTTTTTTCTTTAATACTTTCTTCTTCTTTAATTTCTCTTTCCACTTCAATCTCCTCTACTTTTTCAATATCTTCTTCAACATCTTTCTTTATCTCTTCCTTATTCACCATTTCACTTTGGCATTCAACTTTTGAATCTTCAATTTCTTCAACTCCATTTATATTGTACGCCTCTTCATTTTTCACAAATTTCTCCTCAAGACTTTCATAATCACCCTTCTTAAACTTATCATCCTCAAAGCATTGTACCCAATACTCCATGGGTAGTGATTCACCTCTATGATTGGAAACGATGGTCTCGAGCATCTTCCAAACACAACTTGAAGTTTTGGACTCTCCAAAATACTCCCAAATTTCTTGATGTATTGTCTTTTGCAACACTACCAATGCATTTTCTTCTTTCTTTTCACGAAACTTGTTGGACATGCCACTCTTTGGATCTTCTCCAACAATATCTCACAAATCACATGCTTTGAGGTATGAAGTCATGATGATTTTCATTCTCTTGTAATTAGAGAACATCATCTTCTCACTAAGAAAATACATTTTCCCCTTTTCATCATCATCAAGAAGAAACATGTTTTTTTCTAAAAATGTTGAACCTTCTAAGATCAACTTCGTCGGGCCTTCAGGATTGTCTAGGCTCTGAACATGAAACCTTGGCTCTGTTACCACTTTGTTGTCTTTTTCTCTGCTACCACTTTGTTGGAAATAATGGCCTAGATACATACACACAACACTATAATATTTAGGAAGAGAAGAGGATATGGAGGAATACTTGGAAAATTATTTCACTGCTATTAATTCATCTTATTTTTCTACTCACTTAAAATAGATATAGTACATGAGTTTATATAGGCTCTAAGATATATGTAACCAATTACATTTCAATGCCCAATTACACTCACTATTCCCACTAACATGATATTTAATAGGTATAATTCTCACTAACATAACTATTTAGTCTTAACTCTCATGACCCTTGGTTTTACATAACCTTCACCATCACACTAACTCTCATATACTAATTCTCATTAAGATAATTTACTACCCACTAACATGCTAAATGCCCACATATACTATGTAAGACAAATACTTAAAATGATTAATTAAATACTAAAATTAAGTTTATTTTTCAACATATATATATTTATAAGTATATGAGATAGACATTTGATCAAAAAAAAAATAGATCAAAAAAAATGAATTTTAATTAGAAAAAATAATTGAATGGCATAAAAATATAGTAGGCTTTTATTTTTATTCTTTTTAATATAAACAAATACGAAAAAAAGGATATTACAGAATTTAACTATGCTAGATATGGTAAATAAATTACATGTAGTCGAACTCCTAATTATGAATTTTACTTTTTAATTTCATTTATTTAATATTTTATTATTAACAATATGGTAATGCATATAACAAAAAACGTCAGTTCTTATATTATTATTGAGGAAAGAAAAAAATATATAATCTTTTAACTAAATTCACATAATTGGACAAATTGCATAAAACTCCCGACTTGGTTGGTGGGGGTAGTTTTGGCAAAAATTCAAAAAGAAACCCCTGTCCGTTAGTTGAGGAGGTTTTGGGGGTTAGTTGAGGGGGTTTTTTTTTGACAAAAAAATAAAAATAAAAGGAGATTTATTGAAAAATGGTGAAAGTCAAAGGGGGTTAAATGCAGTTTAACCCAAAAAAAAAAAAAAAAAAACCAACCTCCTTAAAACATATTTTTTGATGTCCTAATCAAACTAAACTTGTTATGTATTGTGCCCTCACACACATACTTGGTCTAAATGATGTTTTCATCAAATGAATGGTATTCATGCACTTGTTATTCATCTCGGACGATTCAGACACAAAATAAGTGAAAACTAAAACTCAAACAATCCAAGTTTTTGCACCGAATTTGCCTACTAAAAATTATATTTCTCAGAAATTTTTCCTTTGGAAATTTCGTGCTACCGCGTACAGCAACACGATGTTCACCCTAATCCCATGCTCCCCTAGTTGCCGGTTCGTTGACTAATCCAACCCAATCATTGGGTGCTTTGACATGTAGTACTTGGTTCGCTTCGGACCACCTTTACTTCCTTTCATGCTCGCTAGGCGGCCATGCTGCGCACGTTGACAGTGAAGAGGCGATCAAATTTGGAGAAGTCTTGATCGAGAAGCATCTAATTGGAGGGGCTAATGATGCATGCATTGTTGAACATGATTTCGAGATGGCTGTGAATCTAGACCGTTGATTTCACCATGTCTTTTACTTGGTATTAATTAGCAACATTGCAGTAGACATAGGTCCTTCATCTGAGATTAAAATTGTATGAGTTGTACTATACAGAATGGATGAGGAATTTTGATGTTAAAATAGCTTAGAGAGAGGTGAAAAGATTTTACTCGTTTCTTTATCTAATTTTTATATTACTTTAATTTTATCATATAAAACTAAAACAACAACCCACAAAGCAAAGCAAAACTAAAGTGCAAGTAGATAGAGTATGAAAGATGACAATTTTTAGCACGGAAACCCTATTGAACCAACCAAGTCAGGAAAAAACCACATAGCCTCAAGTGAAACAATTTACTATTTCAAAGCAAAGTACAGTAGATTTTGACTCAAACTCACACTCACTCCGCTCCACCAAAAACTAATTATTGAACTTATCTCTAGCTTTGTCACTCTCCTGTTCAAATGATCTAAGTTTCAGGCTCACTCCCTTAATCCTTGTAAAAGGGTTGTTGATAGAACACGAACACTCTATGAAAACTTTGTTCCTTTCGTAACTCAATTGAAACCTCCTTTTAACTTGATTTGAATTCGTAATTGAAGATTAAACCTAACTTCTGAATGGTATGTACCTTTGAATTTTTGGTATTGATCAGATCAGATTAAGAACATCACCCTAAATTACTCATGTGTATTTCAAAAATATAAAATCAGATTTCTCTAAAATCTCTCTTTCCTAAAGCTCCAACAATGATTTAAAATTTAATCTATGTTTTTCTTAATTGAAACATATTAGGGTTGGAGTTTTGAGAGGTTTATATAAACACGAGAGTTCTCAAAATATATGGAAATATGTTTTAAAATCGTACAAGGATTTCACTGAGAGTTTTGGTGCAAACCAGTAAGTAAAAACGTTACAAAAAATTGAAATCCCGCACATTCAGGAAAGTACAACTGGTTAAAAAATTCCTCTAAAACACATTCGGTAAAAGTTTAACATGTTGGACAAAAAATGCAACCTGTTGTACTTTTGCAGACTTCAAATTTTTCAATAATACCCAATTTTCTCAAGTCTTTCCCTACCAAACACTAAATATCTCATTCATATATCTTTTCTAATTGATATTTTCATCGAATCGAATTATGCGTGCATTTGTTATTCTACTTTCGATATCGAGACTCAAAGTAAAACCAAAATTACAAATTTATATCTCACAACTTTCACACCACATCCGTATTGTGCAACTCACAACATAGGTTTCTATTTCAGGAGCAAAAATAATTATAAAAATGTTAAAACATAATATAATGAAAGTTTAAACAAAGTTCTCCTGTCATTAAAAATAATGGATTTACTTTAAACCAAGACAAATGGAAGAACTTTAACTAAAAAAAAAAAAGACAAATGGAAGAACAATAACGTTCAGGAAAAAAAAGGCAATGGACATCAAAGCTTGTTTTAGAAGCAACAACTATAATTTGTTCACAACTGAAATTTCTTTAACTTTGTCGATCAATTTAAGCCAAACTATTGATGATTGAACTCAAGATTGGGTTTGGTTGGTCCTTGGCAAATCTCACTAAATTTCTTCAAACGGTGAGAAAACGTGCATGATGTAGCAGGATTATAAGACTGGTTATTCATTTTGGTTCAAACATGATTTGGCACAACATTCTTGGCTTGGCATGGAATGTGGTCCCAGTGCTGACTCCTTAGCACATAAGAATTAATAGAAAGTTGGTGTAGGACACACATGCTTATATGCTCCACACCACATTTGGTCTGATAGGATGTATACTTTTTCATTTATGTCGTGGCACAACCTTACACACAAATAAAAAATAAAAAAAATAAAAATTACTCACTAGCATAATAAATTATTTTTATTATGTGACCGATATAATTGGTTGAAAAAACAAAAAAAACTAAATATTGAAGGTATAAAAAGGTCTTTCTCAAATCAAGAATACACCATGACAAATGATCCCTTAAATTGTTAAAATTTTGTATCCATGTCTTTAATTTATTACAATACCTACCTATTCAAGAATGAGTAATAGTTATTAGTATCAGTAGGCTGGTAGCGGATAAATGAATTTTCAAATTTATTCTGATTCTATTAACGGATCAGTGATCTAGCGGTATCAATCTCTGTAATACTACCTCCATCCTATAATAATTGTCCAATCAAAAAATTTTGATTCATTATTACCTTTTATTTTTGAGTCATTTGAGATAATTTTTAGTCATATTCATTTGTTAAACTTATATAATATATACTACCTATATCCCATATTAGATGTCTATTTGGATAATTTTAATTTACAAAAATTGTGAGTCAGTTTTTTATGCGGACAACTAATATGAGACAGAGGGAGTAGGTTATTTTTAAAAGTAATATATTAATTTTTTAAATAAAATAATTATTATAAAATAAATAAATGGAAACTTAATTTGAAAGAACGGTAGTAGTACAATTAAAAGTGACAATAATACCTTAAATTAATGAAAAATTACCAACATCGAATAAGTTGTAGATTTATTATATCAACAACTTATAATCGGGTAACTTCACTCGAATAAATAATGCAAAATACGAAGAAAAAATACACGGTGATACAAATATAATGTGAGACTAAGACCCATATGATCTACGAAGTAACCAATTACCCACCCACTTGAACGCCGTCGACGATGAGGTCGTGCCCGGAGATGAATGCGGAGTCATTGGAGGCAAGGAACAACACTGCTTCAGCAACATGTTTCACTTTCAGTGTAATCCCTTTCAAGCTCGAATGAGGTTCATAAATCTTCTCTACCTCTTCCACCTCCTTCTGGTAAATCTTGCACGTCAGGGGTGTCCCCACCCCACCCGGCGACACACTGTTCACTTTTATTCCGTGCTCCCCAAGCTGCCGGCTTGCTGACCGGACCAGCCCAACCACCGCGTGCTTTGACATGCAGTAATCTGTCCGTTTCTTCTGACCTCTACTACCAGCCACGCTCGCCGTGCACACAATACTGCCCCGCACGCGCCGCTCCACCATTACACGCGCCGCGTGCTTCACACAGGCAGCCATGCCGCGCACATTGACTGCAAAGAGGCGGTCGAATTCCGATAAGTCAAGATCGATAACGGTCTGTTCAGAGGGACTGATGATGCCTGCGTTGCTAAACATGATGTCGAGCTGACCGTGAATCTGGACCGTTGATTCCACCATGTCCTTGACTTGGTCTTCATACCTTACATCGCAGTGGACGTAGGTGCATTTTGGGCCAATGGACTCCACCACATGCTGGCCTCGTTCGTCTTGGATGTCGGCGATCACAACCGCGCGTGCACCGTGATCAGCAAAAAGACGGGCCGTTTCCTCACCGATGCCGCTCGCTCCGCCGGTGATTATGGCTACTTTGCCCTCTAGTTTCTTCATTGCCATTTCCATCATCTCTGAGTCAACCAAAAGAGAGAGAGACCACTAGTTCATGATAGGGTCAACAGTGTAACCTCTTTTTTTTTTTTTTTTTGGTAAGTACAACAGTGTAACCTTTGTGCTAGTTCTTTGTTTATAAATATAATTCACGTGTATTTTTCTTACCAAACACATACATGGTTAATAAGACAACTTTGAAAGGAGGTTATAACTAAGAGAGCAATTTTATGGTTGAAGAAAGAGAAAAGTTGTAGTCAACATATACGCAGAAAATTAATTTTATATAGGGAAAATTACATATACATGGAGTCAAAGTTTCATATTTACTTAGAAACTGAGTCAAAGTTCCATATTTCTCTAAAATGGATTGCTGAGTTGGCACATGGTTTTTTACTGTTTAAAACATTGTGGTGCCTAAAATGCCCTTCCCTAACAAAAAAGTAGTACCTTCAGTGCAAAAAAGTAGTACTTTCAGTTCAAAAAAGTAATACCTTCGGAGAAAAAGTAGTACCTTCGCGGGTGTTTAAAAAACATGGTACCGGGACGCCAAAAAGTAGTACCTTCAGTTCAAAAAAGTAGTACCTTCGAAGAAAAAGTAGTACCTTCGCGGAAGGGTATTTTAGGCACCACAATTTCTAAACAGTAAAAAACCATGTGCCACCTCAGTAATCCATTTTAGAGAAATATGGAACTTTGACTCAGCCTCTAAGTAAATATGGAACTTTGACTCCATTTATATGTAATTTTCCCTTTTATATAAAATAATTTCCTAAAGATTGCAGCAACTTTTGCCGCGTCCCGTTGTTTTTATGCTCAAAATCTACTACCTTTCGATTGTTGATGCTATCAACTTTTCAAGCACTAATAATGTAAAACTTGCTGATAGCTTTGGAGAATGTTTGGACCGTGAATGGGTCAAACGGGCACACTAATCAGGTTTTTTTATTTTTTTATTATTATTATTTTTTAAACTAGTTTGTTTTGAGCTAAAAAGACCCTAATCTTATTGAAAATTACCTAACTCGCAAAAATGATCTGCTGAGGTATGGTGCCTTTCGACCGAATTCAATCGTTTAGAGTTCAGGAATTGCGTTTTCTCAATTTTGAATATTTTGAAATTTTCATTAGAAGACTAAACGGATTCGAATTACTTTTCTTTTTGGTTTTTAGTATTTAGGTTTTTAACTTTATTTTTATAATTTTTGGAAAAAGTTAAATTTTGAGCAGTTTCCTTATACTTCTAGTTTTCTTATTATGTTTTAAGGTTTCTTTTGTAGATTAGTTTTTTTATTATTATTATAAATAAATGTATGGCGGAGCATTCATTTCAATTATCAATACAATATCGTATTTTTTTGTTAAATTTCTTCGACTTTGTGATTCAAGTTACCTTACTTTTTGAATTCAAAGTAACCATATTTCTTATGAATGATACACACCTTTTCGCTACGTCAACTAATGTCTATTATAATTTGTTTACATACCCTAGGAAAAGAGGAAGTGTCCATGCTATCTATAGGTGGATAACCTGATGCCACCCAATGATATTTATCGGTTTGGCTTAGGAGTGAAGAGGTCTCAACTGAGACTGTAACCAGTCACAATTAAGAACGCAACGAGTAGGACCTTGAGATATGACCTAGAAGGGGGTGGTGAATGGGTCGGTTCCCACATTTTTGTTTATGTTATGACTTTAATATAAATTCACTCAATTCTTTTATTCTCTTTTTAATGCGGAAGATAATATATCACAGATATATTAATTTAAATATTGATTGGTGAATTTATTGTTTTGTATTCAGCGATCAATTAAGTGTATGGCCCTTAATCATATAATTAAATTAGAATTAAATAAACAAACTATATTTATTTAACTAAATAAATAAATAAACTATCTCATTTATTAAATAAATAAATAAATTCTCAACTAGCCCCTAGTTGATTCAAACCAACCAATTAGTGATATGTTAAATATAGTTTAATTGTTTTTATCTCTTTAAGCACATGCATGCCATGATTTCATCATGGTAAACCTTTAAGAATACATCATTAACATAGCAATATATATAAGCAATTAATATGTACAGTAAAGTAATAGAGATAAAGACTTGCACACTGGATATACGAGGAAAAATCTACCCCAACGGTAAATAAAAAAACCTCAAAACTTGGCACCGCCAAGAAAATCACTATGAAGAAAGAGATTACAACTAGTCCAGTTCAATCACTATGAACACCAGCTAAACTCTAGACTCAGCAAGATACCAAACCATCAATGCTCGTTCACGTTGCAGTTGCTTACTCCATCCAACCCCTTATTACAACACTTCAAAAAATCTCCAACTATCCATCAGCCAATCCATCTAACTGCTACATGATCCCATTTATCCACATCAATCCCCCATGCATAAATTCTTCACCTCGGACTCGTTGCATCAACCAATCTGACCACCACTTTGTTTCGGTTTTATTTAGCTTTGATAGTAGCACTTCTTGGCCTTGCGTTGATGTTAAACTTTCAGCTCATACCATAATAATATTATCAACACAATGAATACAACATAATCAACATGTCTAATGCAGAGTATATGATATGTATGAATGATGCAAAAACAAAATCACATGATACATAGTGTAGGATATATATCAAGTGTGGTGCGCGCCCTCAACTCACATAAGAAATATCTCTCACACAAACTCTCATATGGATATACACAAGTAGAATTCTCACAGAGAACATTCGTAGATAAAAAATAATAATAATCAAGAAAATAATGTTTTTGGCGGGGTTAAGCACTCTAGGGTTGTATAGACTTAATGTTTGGCACTTGTGGCACACGGTCTGTCCTTTTAGACCTTGTATATATAGAGAACGATACTTATTCCCTACTCAAATATCTTGATCTATAAGTAGACTTGTTTTCCAAGTCGTATATTATATAACAATTGAAAATAAAATATAATATAAGAAAATATAATTCTAGAAGAATATATCATGTATACGTATCTTTTCTTCTAAAAAAATATTTTAATCTTGACATATTAAAATATTAAAAAAAGATCGAGTAAACTCAATATGGAAATTAATTTTTATACTTAAAATGTTTCTATCAATCTTACTGATGAAACCTTCGATCGATCGAGCATGTATAAGTTCGTTCAATGCCCTTGGCGTAGTCTATCGATCGAAGTTGTGAAGTTGTCGATAAATCGAGAAGTGATGGGATCGAGACAATTACATCTTGTTATTTTTTACTTCCTTGACTTGTGAACGACATAAAATAATTTAGCACATGTTTTAATCATTGTAAAACGTGTCAGAAGAGTCTGGAAATATATTTTCTTGATACATACTTATATATAATGTCTAAGGTAACTTAGAACTTAACAAAATATTATGAATGCAATCTTTTAGAAAATATTTCCTTGATACTTAAGAATAGGCTAAAATATCAATATGAAAAATATTAATTATATTCTTAGCAAAACTGATGTTACGCAATATTTACCTTCTAAATATTTTAGGGAAATATATATATATATATATAAAATAAAATAAAATACCATATGAATTACACTATTCACCTAATAGCATATGATAATGAATAATATGTACTCATGAACCTAAATGGTGATAGATGAAATTCAAGTCTGACTCTTACATTAGAAGCTCTTACTTGGAAAAATTAAATAATCACCCTTAGAAGTTGATATTCTGACTATTCTGCCCCTCATAGTAGAACTCTAGACTATTTTGCCCTTGTGATGGTTCTTGGACTACTTTGCCCTTTGAGGCAGAATTCTGGACTATTCTACCCTTATAGTAATTCTTGAACCATTTTGCCATTTGAAGAAGAACTTTGACTAAATTGCCCTTTGTAGTAGTTCTTTGACTGATTTGCCTTTTGTTGAAGATCTTGGACCTTATTACCCTTTCGATGTTGCTTTCTTCAAACAAATTTATCTTCACACTTAAATCATCTAACCTATTATATTTCTATCTCACTCACTAAGCATATAATCATTAAATTACAAGAGTGAGTTTTATACTACGAACTTTACCAATTACAATATTAGAATTGGTAAATTCTTATCCGTCCATAGTTTAAAATAAATATTAATGGTATGATCAACAGGCATTTATGTGAAGTTAAAGTCTAAATTGTTTTTAAGATAAAATTATATATATATATATATATATATATATATATATATATATATATGTAAAAGAAATGTAATGGTCATTATAACTCTGGATAATAAAGATTATATTCATAATTTCTGATGAGCGCTGAAAAGTGCGTATTAAACCCCTTAAGCTTAGGTATTCTAGTATATTTATCTATCTTACTTTACCGTTTTAGATTGATTTCGTGTTATTTTCATTTTTAGGCACTTATCCCGAAAATAAACTAACTCAGCCAAATAAGAGCAGAAATGAAGCAATTCTGGTATGAATCAAAGAAATGAGTCAAGTGGAAGCAAAAGGTGGAATTCAACATCTTCGATCGATCTTAGATCAAAGTTCGATCGATCCAATATGATCGATCTCAGCACTTCAAGATGGATCTAAGCCATGATGACATTTTCAGAGATCTCAAAAGTTCGATCAATCCAACATCATTCTTCGATCGATCGAACTACCTTGTCCTTATCCAAATGATTGATGTTATCCAGTTGTACCACCCTACCAACCACTTTTGTCCTTTTCACAAAAATATCTTCGAAATATCTCAGATTTGTGTTTATCCAAAAAGGCGCCACCATTGAGGATCGATCCAACTTCAGTTCGATAGATCTCAACTATGTTCGATCGATCCAAATCCAATGTTCGATCGATCGAACTTCCTCTAGTGCGAAAAAGTTTAATTTCCAGCTCACAAAAGTTGTCCTTTATCCAATCATTGGGGAATATTTTGTGCACAACCCCAGCTCATTTTGTGTGTAACTTGACCTGCCTATATATAGAATATGATACACTTTTTGAAAGGGATCCATCTATCACAATAAAGGCTATTCTTAGGGAGGAAGAAAGGAGGAGAAGGCTAGAGACACAAGCTTGGGAGCTCTTCATCAACCAAGGAGTAGATTTCTTCTATGGAGCTTGCCCTTGAGGGTTGGAGAAGCATTGCCATGAGTGGCTAGCCATCCTCTTGGGGCTAGAGTTAGCCCCAAGCATGCTTTCTAAATCTTGATTTTGTGTATTATTGAGGGATTAGTGTTGTAATACATGTTTTGGCACTTATATATATATAGATCTTGTTTATTCAATGATTTATGTGGTTTAATATTTCCAATTGATCATTTCATTTTATCCATATGTCTATGTATGCTAGAATAGATGTTCATATGTTTGTCTCTATTTCTTGTGTTATTGATACATATCTATGTGTATTAATACCATAGATCTAGAGATTGTCAAAACATAATGCTTAATGGAATGCTCTTGTAGTTTTCTTGATTGTTCATGCTCATTGCTTGATGGATTGTGCCTCTCCCTTAGTTTAATTAATTTAATTTCATGTCATTAGCTTAATTGTAGTGTAGTGGTAGTATAGTTGTTAGATGGGAGGACAATCCATGCTTGTTATTTGATGTTCCATACTTTTGAATGCAAGTAGCATATGTCTATAACCTTGTAGTGTATTTGGCTTGTGAGCTTAATGAAAGGATTAATGATTTGCTAGATATATTGTGCTTTTCACATGCTACTTAGACAATATATACTTAATTGTTAGATATATTGTGCTTTTCACATGTTGCTTAGACAATATATACTTAATTGGTCATCCTTGCTAATTGAATCAACCAAACACACACACACATCAATATTGCAACACACATTTCCCTCATCAGTCACTTGTTAAGGGTGTATAAAAGTATTGTTTGGTGGTGACCTCTAAACCCCAAGATCTCTCTCTCTTACTTACTCTTTATTGCATTCAATTATTTAGTTTAATTTGCTCTCTAGTTTAATCAACCAACCAACTATTTGTTTGATCACTCAATCTACTAACCCTAATTGTAATTCCTCAAGCTAGTACGATAACTCAATCCCTTGAGATGATCCCTTCTCACTCATACTACATAGTATAGGTGTTAAGTGGTTTATAAATTTAAATTATGGTGCCCACTTGACACTAATTTCCAAACTCAAAGTTTTTTGCATTGTTTTGTGCCATCACCGAGAAAGCCACCAATTTCTTTCTTTCTTTCTTTCTTTTTTTCTTAGTTTACTCATACATACATGCTTCTACAAAGGCTTGAACCTCTGACCTTCCTCTAAAAAGTAAGGGCCTAATACCGCTAGGCCATTGGTTAATTTCTTATTTCCTATATATACACATCAATATTTTGCCGCCTGTAGTCATTTTGTCTAGATGATATGATCTCGAGGTTGAATAAGATTATGAATAAGAGTGTTTTCTTTTCAGTATGAATGGGAATTTTTATTTATATGTTTATGTGAATCGGACTATTTCCTTTTCTTTTCTTTTCTTTTCTTTCTTTCTTTCTCTCTTTTTTTTCCCCTCTAAAGAAGCAACCGAACGATATTCATATTTATCTCATTTTCTTTTTTGTTTTTCAAAGAAGCAATGGCTATATTTTTCTGAGTTTTAAAATCATGTGCAACACATTTAAAATGAGCTTAGTTTTTAAGAAATTCGTTTTAAAGTGAATACTTCAACAACTAAATAATGACAAAATAAACAGCAAGTGAAACCCTAATTGGTATAAGCGACATTGTTCTTATTCTTAATAACTAATCAACTACCCATTTTGAATATCAAAAGGTGATAGTCAAGAAGTGAATCCACCATCCATGACCAGGTCGTACCCAGAGACAAATGAGGAGTCCATGGTTGTCAAAATCCCGATTTTGAGTCGTAAAATCGCACGATTCTATGATTCAAAATCCAAAATCGATCCAAAACTTAACAAAATCGTTCAATTGGTAGAATCGAGGGTAGAATCGATGAAATCGTACATAGAATCGTAGAATCGCGCGATTCTATGCGATTCTATCAATTCTACTTGATTTTTTGTTTGAGACCCTTTTTTTGTTAGCTGGTTCCTTTTTTTGATGGTTGGGATACAAAATAAGAAAGCATCTTGTAAAGGGACACGATTGGAGGCTCACCTGGCTATGAAGGAATGGCCATCACACTTTGGTTGGAATTATTTTTCCATTCTGATTTTTATTTTATAATATATTCAGACTTTAGAATTATTATTGTTATTATTATTTTAGTATTTTGGCCTTATTATTGCTATATTTTACACATATTATTGTTTATGTAACTAGTTTTAATTATTTTTTTACATTTTGGTAAAATCTTACGATTTACGATTTGATTCTACGATTCTGATTCTACGGAATCCAAAACGATTTTACTTAAAATCCTGATTTTAACAACCTTGGGGGAGTCATCAGAGCCAAGGAACAACAAAACATCTACAACATGTTTCACTTTCAAAACAATCCCTTTCAAGCTCATAAAGGGCTCATAAATCTTCTCCACCTCTTCCACATTCTTCTCATGCATCTCGCACAATAACGGTATTGCCACAGCAAACGGCGACACACTATTTACCCTGATCCCATGTTCCCCGAGCTGCTGGCTCGCTGACTGGACCAGCCTAATCACCGCTTACTTCGACATGCAGTAATTGGTATGTTCTTCCCACCTTTAATACCCGCCACACTTGCCCTGCACACAATGCTGCCCCTCATGCCTCACTCCACCATTACACACGCCACATGTTTCACGTAGGCGGCCATGCCGTGCACGTTGATGGCAAAGAGGCGGTCAATTTTCTAGAATTTGAGATCCAAAAGCATTTGATCGGAGGGGCTTAAGATGCCTGCGTTGCTAAACATGATGTCGAGCTAGCCATGAATCTAGACCGTTGATTCCACCATGTCTTTGACTTTGTTATCATCAGCAACATCTCAATAAACGTAGGTGCATTTTGGGCCAATGTACTCTGCCACACACTGGCCTCACTTGTCCTGGATGTTGGAGATCACAACTGCACGTGTGCCATGATTGGCAAAAAGTTGCGTCGTTTCCTTACTGATGCCACTTATGCCGTCGGTGATTATGGCTAGTTCTCCATCTAGCTTATTTGAGCACATTTATGTCATTTTCTAGTCACCTAATAGAGAGTCGGGGAGAGATAGACAAAGAGCACAGTTCCTTATCACAGGGTTAGGGTTAGTAGTGCAGCTTTTATATAGTTTTTTTTTTTTTTTTTTTTTTTTTTTTTTTTTTTTGGGTACGTAGCTTGTTAGGGTCCACCCACGATGAGCTATAACTGATAGGCTTAAGGGAGTGGATAACATTCATTGTTTGTTTGAAATCCTAAACGAAAGGATTAATTTTAGTACTATATATAAAAAGACATATGTTGTGTGGAAAGATTAGGTTTTCCTTGTGAGTGATTGGGGTAAGTGAAGGGTTGAGGGTGTTGAGTGATATCTCTGGTTGTAATCTTCAATCCTTGTACATTTTACAATCTACCAAAAATCTTGTTTTAGTGGACGTAGCAATGATTTTAGGTGAACCAGGTAAAACTCCTGCGTGTGATCTGGTTCTGTGAATTATATAGTTGTTTGCTGCGTGGGTTATTGCTTTATTTCCCAATAAGTGGTATCAGAGCTATAGGATTACACACATTGTTTGATACAAAATTCTTGATCTAGATTTTTCATTATAACTTTGGTATTGGATGTCTTGGGCACTTATGACAACCATGTGCAAAAGAAACTGATGAGTGCTCAAATGTGACGCATTTTTAGCACCTAAGTTAGGGTATTTTAGTCCATTCATCTATCTTATTTTCATGTCTTAGATACTTATTTGTATTTTTGCCTATTTCAGGTTAATAAAGTTCAAACAGGCTAACAAGAGCCATTTAGTCCAATTTTAGAGCTAAGGAGCAAAGTTGGAAAGAAGCCAAGGAAATGCACCAGAGGAGCTTCGATCGATCGTAGAATTCTACAATCGGTCGAAATGAGGCGGTGTCAGCTCAACCAAGTGGATAAGGCCAAAGAAGATATTTTCAAGCCACGTTAGCTTCGATTGATCGAAGCTGAGTATTTGATCGATCAAGAATCTTCAATAGATCGAAGTGTCTGTTGGCAGTGTGCTGTCTAATTCCCAAGAGCGTCGATTTCTACCTAACTTGAGTAGCTGCGAATTTCCTCCAATCATATGCTATATTTTTTACTTGGTGCCTACTCAAAGGGCAATGTAATGAATTAATTGAACATCTTTCAATTTTATCTTGTAATATTCATATAGTAGATATTTTTCCTCTCTAGAACTAGGGTTTTGGGAAGAAAGTAAGGATGAAGATGATGATGCCAACCTCTAAGCTAACCCTTGAGGGTTCCATAACCACTACAATGAGTGGCTAAATCATTCACTTCAGGCTAGAGATAGCCCCTAGGCTTGCTTTATAAACCTAGCTTTTGTATATTTTTGGGGATTTTAGTTGTAATAGATGTTTTGATCATAAATAAATATAGATCTTGTGATTTCTACTTGATTTGTATAAATTAATGCTTTCAATTGATCATTTATTTCTATCCATATGTCTATGTATGCTAGAATGGATGTCCATGTGCTTTTCTCTAGATTTAATGAAATTAATGCATGTCTATGTGTATTGATGTTGTTAATCTAGTGATGGTCAAAACATAGTGCTTAATTGAATACTCTTGTGATTTATTTGATGGTTCACACTTGTTTCTTGATGAATTGTACCACACATTTAGTTTAATTAGTTTAATTTGCATGTCTCTAGCCTAGATATAGTGTAATTGTTTTAATTTCTTAGATAGGTAGACAATCTATTCTTGTTCCTTGATGTTCCATACTATGAATGCAAAGAGTACATTTCTCTAGACCACTATTGTGTGTGTTCTAATTGTGGTTTAATTGAATAGGTTATGGTCTCATTTGATAGGTTGTGCTATTCACTAGATTGATTAGAAAATCTATACTTATTTGCCTTCCATGCTTAGTTTTCAATTAGAGACACACACACACATATTTTATAACTAAAATGTCTCCATTAATTTACAATTGTTAGTGTTTGGTGAAGTGAAGCTTAATGGTGAACTCTAAGTCCCAAGTTCTCTCTCTCATTTATTTTCCCTCTAATTTCTAGATTGCTATTTACTCACATTGTTTTTAATTAGACTTAGTTTAATTAACTCAAACCCCTCTTTGATCATTCGACCTACTAATCCAACAATTGATTCCAAAGCACAACTCATTTCCCTTGGGACGATCCCTACTCACCCTTACTATATTTTAGTTAGTAGTGGTAGTGGCATTCTATAAATTCAAACTTGGCCACACTACACACCCTCAATTGCAACTTTTGTGCTTTGATCCGATGACACACCAAGTTTTGGCGCCGTTGCCGGGGATTAGGCAACGCCGTATTTTGGAAACAATTAGGAATTAGTACCCTTTTGATCATGTTTTTATTTTGTTTTATTTTGGTTACTTATTGTGTTTGTTTTTTATTGGCTAGGTGCATTGAGCCAATAGAAGTAAAGCAAAAGGACTCTAAAGCAAAGAAGCAAGAAGCCAAGCAAAGCTAAACAAGAGCACAAAAAGCTCAAAAATAAAAATTAAAAATTGCAAAGCAAAGTAAGGCAAATAAAGCTAAAATTGAAAAATCATTTGAAGTTGCATAAGGACCCTTTATGAGCTTTTCTAACTCTCTCTCTAGTTAAATCATGAGCCCGTTTGGAGGCAAGTTTTTAATTTCTTTGATAGATCGTGAGCTCGCGTGGAGGCAATTTATTTTTCTTGCATATTGTTCAAGCATGGGAGTCTGGGAACATTATATGTGGAGGTTTGTTAATTGATTTGTTGTGGAGTAGAAATGATTGTTACTTGTTTGTTTTTGTTCTATTTGTGCATACATGATCGTAAGTTGTTAAATCCTACTCTTGTCCCACTTAATTTTCATCTTGAATCCATTGTTCATAATCCTAGGGGAAGGGTTAGCTCTCATCACTCCATTTCATCAATGAAGGACATTAATGAGGACCATGTGGAAGACCTTGGTCACATCGACCAATAAGGTATCCACCACCCTAATGTGCATCATGACAATATTCAAGTACCATTGGGCATGTCAAGACCTTTCATTCCATAACAACAAGACCAAGTTCCATTGGGAATGCCTTGACCAATTTTTGTTCCACCCCCACCTCCCATTGCTCAAGTTAATCATAGCGTTTATGTTGAGCCTCCAATTATGAATCCTCCTCTTGCTTTAAGAGATCATTATGTGCCAAATGAGTATAATGCACCAACATGCATTCAACTTCCTCCTTTTAGAGCACATAATTATGAGAACAATCCAAATGCTTCCTAACTATCATGGACTTCCAAGTGAAGAACCTTACAAGCATTTAGATGAGTTTCTTGAAGTATGTTCAACCGTAAAATACACGGACATGCCGGAAGATGTTTTGTAATTAAAACTCCTCCCTTTAACCCTTAAAGATAAGGTAAAATATTGGTTCAACAATCTTAGACCTTTTTCGATAACTTCTTGGGCAGAAATACAACAAGATTTCTTGAAAAAGTACTATCCGGTTTCAAAGACCAATGTTATCAGAACTTCTATATGTGAATTTTCTCAAGGGGATGGGGAGATGTTTCATGAGGCATGGGAAAGATTTAATGACTTGCTTAGGAAGTGTCTACATCATGACATTCCTAAATGGCAATTAGTTCAATGCTTCTTTGAAAGTTTGCCAGATAATTACAAGGGTATGGTTGATGTATCTATGGGTGGTTCTTATCTTGATAAGCATGAAAATGATGTTTGGCAACTATATGAGAGCATGAATGAGAATTCAATACATCGATCTTTGTCATCTAAAAATGGTAGAAATTTAGGTGGAAGGAAGAATGTTGGCTTATATTAAGTTGACAATTCCAATGACCTAGCCGCCGAAGTCAAGTCTTTATCTCAAAGGTTTAATCAATTTTTTATTAACCAAAATTCGGTGAATCAAGTGTCTTCCTCCCCTAATCATGTTCATCATCCATCTAATGAATCATGTATGACTTGTTCTAATGTTTTACATTCTCCTTCCAAATGTCCCCCATAGACATGTGTAAAATGAGCACCATGAACAAGTGAATGCCGCATTTGTTAATCAAGGGAATAATCCCTATGGCACACATTATAATCCCGGGTGGAAGAACCATCCGAACTTCTCTTGGAAAAGCCAAGGGGAAGGGTCAAACCCTCCCCAAGGTGGTTTTCAAGGTAAGTATATTTTGCCCACAATGCAAAGCCAAGGTTCCCAAGGTTCTAGATCATCTTTTTAATCATCACATGGAAACCAATTTTCAAATTCTCATTTTCCTAATCAATCATCTTATTCTCAAGGAAATTCTAGGAGTCCCACTTTTAAGGAAAAAGTGTTGACCGCTTTAGGTACTTTGGAAGCAAATACCCAATTGCTTCATTCTCATTCCCAATCCATTGCAAAGCTAGAAACCTAAGTTAAGTAAATAACTAGCACATTGAATGCTAGAGAGAAAAGGAAAATGCCTTTAAATCTACCACCAAAGCAATAATTTGTTGTGGAGACCAAATCCTCTTCGAAAGGTCCCACTCTTGAACATGTAAATGCGGTGACCACCTTGAGAAATGGAAGAGTGATTGACAATCAAATTGGTATTCACAATGAAGAGAGTGAACCGGTGCAACCAAAAGTTGACACCCGTCCCCTTTTATATTTTATTCCTCCTTCATTGCATGTGCATGACCCCTTTGTTGAGAAAGTTTTGAAAAATGATTTGAAAAATTCTTGTGATGACAATGTTTTGAAAAATGATTTTAAAAAAGTTTTTGAGCCAAAATCTCCATTTCCGGATGCTTTAAAAGGATCCAATTAAAGCAAAAGACCAAAGCCAATGAAATAATTGATGTGTTTTGGCAAGTGAAGATTAATCTTCCTCTCTTGGATGCAATTCGACAAATTCCGACTTATGCCAAATTTTTGAAGGATCTTTGCACCCTAAAGAGGAAGAACAAAAGCCAAGCATCAAAGAAAGTTATTTTGACCGAACAAGTGAGCTCCATTTTGCA